TCCAATAATCAGCATGGGAATAATTTGGTCAGACTGAACACCAAAACTATTTTTCCTTATAATTTTGTCAGATATAGCATGATTAACCAGAAGCACTAAACCTGCAATTTGCATGCCACATTTTATTGATGAAAGAGAAAATAAGTTGGAGGGGAGCCTTTGTTCCATAAGAGCAGCAGTGTACATAGAGAGAACAATGGCTCCTCCAGTAGAGTAGTATCGGTTACTACAAAATCATTTGATTTGATTGGAATGCTTGGGCAGAGAAAATTGGAAAAAGTGGAGCTCATTGTCTTTCATTCAAAGTCAGAAAAGCCTTTGTAAAAATATACAATTCATTTAACGCGGAACAACATGATTAAATTTTTGCTAGAACGGACTGATATTAATCCCATGATGCTTCCGGGAGCAGGGATTTTTTTCTTCTTCTGACATTGTCTGGTTCTAGAGCGCAGGGAGACAACATGGGGCATGTTTTACATTTTGAGGCAGTGGTACTGTTTGCAGATAAACCCTTCGGAGAAATCTGTGGGGGTTGAATCGAAGGTTTGTTTTATTAATGCATTAGGCCCTGAATAATGGCTGGCTCTGGAGGGCTTACCTCTCAGCAGTACATTTAATGCAGAAGGGATTCCAAGGTTCAAGATCACGTACAGCATAAAATTAGCTCATTATTTCCTTTTGGAATCAAATCGGTTCTAGAGATACATCTTAAATTTCGCACAAGATAGAGATTACGATGCCCTCCAGTTCCTTGTTCACCCTGCCTACTGTTCACCATTCCCCTTTTCTTACTGGAGTCTGTGATTATTATTAATATTATTATTTTAAGGATTTGGAACATAAGGTCTCAAACTTAATTTGCTAGTGTTAAATGTTAGAAACTGAGAATTGAAATAACTGCTATTAACATTTAAAGCTCAAAATATTTAATTCACTGAATTAGTGTTATTAACTTGTTAACTATATCAGACAAAAGAGAAAGAAAGAAAGAAAGAAAGAAAGAAAGAAAGAAAGAAAGAAAGAAAGAAAGAAAGAAAGAAAGAAAGAAAGAAAGAAAGAAAGAAAGAAAGAAAGAAAGAAAGAAAGAAGCCACACAGCTATATTTTATTCTTCAGACCAACTGGTACTCCTGTTCCACCTGAGAATAGGTTACACACCTGTTTAATTTTTTCCGCAAAACAAGATGATGAACGACAAGTCCACCATTTTCTGGCATACTGCCACATGGCTATTCAGACCCCAGTGATCAGGTCCTACTGGACTCACAACCACCAGGACAAAAGTGGGGAGGGAAACTAGCTTCAGTCTCCTGTGAACGAAACTGAGGAATTCTGAAAGAAGTTTGCATTTTGAACAAAATCAGCAACTTGTGTGGAAGATGGGGCGGTTTTCACGGTCATTTCCCCAAAAGGTCTCTGTAGAGGCAGCTGTTTTACTCCAGCAAGAACAAAGCACTTTGGTACTTTCAAAAACGAACTCAACAAGCATATTAAACTGGAAACGGAGTTTGTGGGCGGGGTTTATCCTGCTGTTATCAAGTGAGCTCTAGTTTATTATAAAAGCCACAGCATTGAGTATCAGACCATTAAGCAGCCTGCTACTTCAGGATCTTCCCTTGGCTTACCCAGAGTCATTCCTGACTTAACGGGAGAGGAGTAAGATACTAGTAAGCATGTTGGGCCCTACAAGGTTCCTGTTCTTGCAATTACAAAAAGAAAGAGAGTCTCAGTTTGCATCAGTGGCAGTCTTTTTTCATTTCCATTTATGTCTCCACGAGGACAGAGGGGCCAACTTAGGAAGGCAAGAGGATGAAAAGAGAGGCAAGAGAAATAATGCAGAGACAGGAAAAAGAAGGTGAGTGGATCTGTTATTGGGATGATAGATATTTGCAATGACATATTCCCCCCCCCCTCTTTTTTTGGGTAAACGGACTGGACTAAGATTATGGCTCTGGAAGTTTCCATCGTCTGCCAATACGTGCGACTGACTAATTTCATGGCAGGAGAATAACAAATCTCATGCACAGTGGGATGATCTCTGTGCATCCACATCCGGGGAGAGTCGACCGCATTTCAAACCCAGCCTACTTCCACCCCAGAGCACCAATTGTGTGATCCTTTTGTGTTACACCTGCAAGTACATGTCACATGGAAGCTCCACACAATAATTAATTACAGCACTATATTGTCCAGAAATGCCCTTCAGGGCAAGATCCTTCCAAAATATTTGATCACAAATCAGTTTTGTTCATTAAACATAATTTCCAATATATTTGAAGATCTCTCCGTTTTTGTGTTTCCAGTTGACCACAGCTAAAGAATTACTTCCCTTAAATACCTGCCATCATGTCAGTTTCTGTTCCTGTAAGGCAGATGTGGGGAAAATGCAGTCTCCTACATCCTGGATTGTAACTATCATCAGATCTAATCAATCCAGCTAATGGGAAGAAATTCTCAGAGGTGCAGTCCAACATCTGGAGGGCTGCATTTTGTACAAGCCTATCATAAAGGGTGAGAGGGAGACTATTTCCTGGCTTCCCTAAATTATTTCTATTTGGCAGATCATGTTACCGTGAGAAGCAGCATGCATCACCAATTGGTTGGCTAATGCACAGTCTGGGTATCTGAAGTGTGGCATGGATGTAAAGATGGGGACCATATGGCCAACCTGAACTTAATTCTTTTAGCACACTCAGGGTGTGTGCATGAAGAACCTGGCCATGTAAGTGTTATTTCAAATGGTAAATGGCCAGGATCCTGTTACCCTTGCCTGCCAGTTAAGTCTAGCAGTGCAAATTTCAGCTGTGAATTGCCATCAGTTAAGAAGTCAGCACAGGCATTTGCCAGTGCATGCTTAGTCACATATCTGGTGTCTGACAGCAAATGACTACACTGACTTCTTAACTTCTGACAATTCACAGGTAAGATTTACTCTGATAGAGTTACACTGAAAGGCGAAGGTAACAGAATTCTGGCCACTGACATTTTCAAGTAGCACCCATGTAGCCAGATCCTTCATGCACACACCCTCTGAGAAATGTTAGGGACAGACAAGAGTGGGGTTGTATATGTTACAAAACATATCAGTACAATGAAGGAGTTAAGAGTTACCTTTGCTATGTAGTGGAATCTCCACATTCCTTTCAGCAAATTAGGTAGTTAACCTGATTACTGCATGTATCCTTTACTGTGTCCTGCATATGCTGCTTTACGCAGCACCTAGAAGAGTTACTTGTTTGAGCATGTATCCTTTACTGTGTCCTGCATATGCAGCACCTAGAAGAGTTACTTGTTTGATTACAACTTCCAGCATTTTATTTGTGGCCAAAATGACAACTTTTACCAAGCTCTGAGTTTTTGTTTGTTCTTGCTAGTTTTCCTTATTATTGCTAGTCCATTTTCAAGGAGATTTGGATTTTTCCTTAGCTGTTGAAGTCCTTATGTCCCTTGATAAGTTTTACATTATTGAACACTTTGAAAAGTGTGTTAATTTTTTTGTCCAAAACACAAAGATGTTCCAAACCATACAGAAATCTGCTGAAGCTTCCATTTATACTGTGGATTACATTTTTTTTTGCAACTTGTGAACATTTTTCCATTTTGGCAAGATATATTTAATTTGGTGATTATACCGGTTATCTCTCAGTGTCTTTTACTAGTGAATATAAATAAAACACAGTGAAAAGAATTTCACAAATGCAGTTGTTGGAGGAGAATGGTTTGATAAATGATGTCAAAAATATCACTTAACCCCCAGATTAGCTGGGTTTACTGACATATACACTGGTTCTGTAAAAGGTAAGTGTTCCATACTTCTGTGGTTAACTATGTCAGGTTGTTCTGACATTTATTCTGAAATGCAACACCTACATTGGATAATGCTTGATCATTTCTAAAAAGGCCAGAGGAGAGGATCTTAACTGCTTTTCTGGAATTTCCTCTATGAGTAATGCAAAAGCAATTCAAAGTTTAAAACAAACTTCCTCATTCTTAAATAATTTAAACCAGAAGGAGGAGAAAGGCCAACCCTCCTCGTGATAGATATGTGCAGTCTAGCTAGAGCAGTGGAAGACAGTATACTGTATGTGGCCAACACAGTTAGTGATCTTGTGAACAAATCAACAATATTACTATCCAACTGCCTCTTACCTGCCTATGCCAAACAATGTTTTGGAGGCTGCAACTAGATGTGGTGTGAACCTCTAAAAAAGCATGGTGGAGGGAGCTGAACTCTTCTAGTTTCATGCTTCCCTGCTGCCAAATTATTCCTAACTTCCCCCTCCCATTTCATCCTATTGGACATTACTTCTGTACTTCCATTCTGTTCATCATATACCTACAGCCTCCCAAACCAGTTCGTGGTGGGGGCGGGGATGGAGGCTGCTTTTGAGCTTACAAACTAAGGAGATAAAGAAAAGAGAAAGGAGGGAAGAGGAAGAGGAGGAAGATAGATTCTTCGAGGCTAAAACAAAGTGGTGACAGTTAAGTGGTCACAAAAACGGGTTTTGAGCTGCACTGATCTTTATTTTATAGGCTTGCTTGAATAGCATTAGTAGCTCTTATTTCTTTGGCTGATGGTGGATGGGGACAAAGTACTCTTTTTCAGTAAGAGATCCACTTGCAGAAAAAATGTCTGGGAACAAATTTTGTGCGGAGCAGGGAGTAATTTCAGTTCTCTCCACCTCCGTCTTATTAAACTGTGCTTTAAGTATTCTTTCCTCATGTTTATAGGACATGCAAACACAGGGATCCTCAGCCATTGCTGAGACTTATTTATTAGGCCCATCTGGCTCTGCCAAGTAATAACTTTATAAAAAACAAGACGATACTAATATATGTTAAATTTTATCTCAACAAATGGCAAACATGTCTGTATGTGTAGACAGACTTGATTAGATTGTTTCAAAGTTGTTCAACAGTTGCATTATGAGTTGGGTCCACAATTCCGCAAAGCATTTTACCCATGAAATATTCATATACAGACAAGCTAGGACTAACCTTTTCCTGAGCGTGCTTTTGGAACTTCTGCAGCCGCCGCTAATGATGCAGTCTGAAATAGCACCAAAAAAAAAAAAGCAGTAAAAATGTTAGGATCAATACTTTAAGAGTCACTCCTGCTCACTCTCAAGGACCGCAAGGCAAATATCACACATAAAGAAGCTCACTGTATCCATATAGTAATGTCCAGACAACATACATATACAACATACAAATTAAAAGGACAAGCAAACATAATAGCTAAGGGCTAGTTCTCATTGAGGTAACAGACCTAACTTCATGCAATCAAATTGCTCCCTCAAACAAAAACAAAACTAAATGCACATACGCACACGAACTTGCTTCACATAGAAACTAGTACTTTGAGGAGAAGACTAGACTAGAGCTTTCTAGCTTTCAGTACATTGAGAGTCTCAAACAAAAACAAAACTAAATGCACATATGCACACAAACTTGCTTCACATAGAAACTAGCACTTTGAGGAGAAGGCTAGACTAGAGCCTTCTAGCTTTTAGTACATGGACAGCAATTTTTTTGTTTATGTATTTGGGGCAAAAGACCACTGAACTACAAAGCTGGCAGGGACTTCCAAGAGTCATGTAATGCAGCAAGACAGGAAATCCACAACTAATAGATGCTAAGTGGCAGGGACTTCCAAGAGTCATGTAATGCAGCACCCTACTAAGGCAGGAAATCCACAACTAATAGATGGCTAAGATCCGTTTAAAACCTTCAGTGAAGGACAGTCCACCACATACTGGCATACTGCAGAACATCTCTTACAGTCAGAAAGATTCTAAAAAGAAACATTCAAATACACCAGCCTGTACTGAATGCTGACGTGACATGGCCCTGACACAGATTTGTTGTCTTTGTGAGAATAACACCCAATTCTACACTTGTAATCATCTGCATTTATTAATTAAAAAGTATAAATGTGATCATTGAAAATACTGATGCATTGAACTAAATGATGAAAAAAAACTATAGAGAGAATAACCATTACACCTGCTTATCAGGCAAAATCCAAACAAACAAACAAAAAACCCACACAGCTTTTGTGGACATGTCCACTTTGACACATGAAAACAGAGTTAAATGTAAAATGAAATACTAGTTTTGCAAGCAGAACATTCTGAATGTTCATTGGCTCGTGGATAAATGGTACATCTACATGCAGTAATTTATGGCCTATGTGTTTTGAGTCTTATTTCACCTAATGATGCTGATGGGAGTTCTCCCTTTAAAAGTGGTTTAGAAACCTGTGATCTTAAAAAATCCAGAACTCAAATCATAGTATCAATTCAAAAATATGACATTAATGTGAATTTATACTGGGATGGATCATTTAAGAGCACTGCGTTTTTAAGAACCTGTGTAGTCTTCCTTCGACATCTCTGCTTTCCTATCACATGAAATCTGTTTGGCCACCATCTAAACCAGCATCCTTATTTTTCCAAAGGCCAGCTGGATGCTTCTAGAGCAGTGGTTCTTAACCTTTGTTACTCGGATACTTTTGAACTGCAACTCCCAGAAACCCCAGTCAGCACAGCTGGTGGTGAAGGCTTCTAGGAGTTGCAGTCTAAAACTAGAGAACCCTGCACAGGGTGTGATGGCAACAATATAAAATCTCAGCACACCCATTTACCTTCCACTTCACTTTTGACATAGGCATTGCCTCTAAACATAAAGATCCCTTTTAGTTACCAGGGGTAAGGCAAGGGCATTTGTCTAGTTCCATATATAATATCTAAGGCATTGGCATCTTATAGCAGTGAATTTCATTGAGTAGTGATGTCATGGAAAAAATAGTACTTATGTCTACATATCCTGCATCTTCACAGATTAAGTTTCACTGTTACGGGGATGGTAACATAGGTGGGAATTATCTCTATCCGTGTCTTCCACATAGTACATAATTTTATTCAACTCTGTCATACTGATTCTTAGAAACATTTTTAAAATTAATAAAAAGAAGCCCAGATGGTTTGGTCTTTTCTTGCTAACAAAGTTGCTCCATATCCCCATCACTTTGATCACAACTCCCCAGTTTTTTCAGCTCTACAAGATGGACACCATTTCTACCCCAGAAGAGACCTAACCACACACAGCTTAAGTTCTGTGGACAACCAAGGCTGATAGGCCTCTCTGCCTATCAGCTGTCTGCATTACTTCTATTATTAGCAAGAGAATTAGATTAACTCCAATTACTTGCACCACGTCATCCACCCTCTGTCTTCATTGATAGCATTAATACTGATGGCACCTATAACTTACAAGAAGGCAACCGTGTTTTTGTTACGTATGTTGGGTCATGAAATTTTGTTTTGAAGAAAAACTCACACAAAGAAAAGCTGCTGAGGTTTTAAATTTTGTGCTGTAGATGCTAATGGGCATTATGTTTAAGAATACAGACCTGCATAATAACTGTATCACATGTGATTTCCCCTTCTATTTGGGAGATGCCTGGACTGTCTGCTAAAATTGGAAGATGGCAGTGGCCTTTCTTTATATTTTGCAAATATTTGTTACGTTCTCAAGGCTTTTAGAACTGCTGGTTTTAAATATTATTCTCTGCAGCTAAATGGAAGAGAAGTTAAAATTAATGAACAGATAGTTTTAAGATATCAGAAGTTAATTTTTTCAGCCTTTAAATTTATATCAATATCCTACATCGTGCACCTAAAAGTGCAGGATGAAAATATACCAGTAGAAAAACCAATGTAAAAATCGTGTTGGAGTCAAAAGGTTGAAAGCTTTGCCGTTGTATTACCAAATATAGTCAAACAGAACTAGGCAACCAACTGGCTTGCAGATTGTAATTTTCTTGCCAAACATGTGATGCTAAGCTAAAGCCATTAGTAAAAGAGCCATAAAAATCTTATTATCAGCCCATAAAAATATAGATTCTAACTAAACTTTTAAACAATTTTCCATTTTAAAAAAAGTTGGTTAAAATAAAACTTGTTAAAATAACCAAGTCTAATGACAGTGTTTTGATTATTCTCTAGATACCTAAACTACATTTGTAGTATACTGAGGTGAAAGAGTCCATTAATGATCAAATTCACTAATATCACCTCAGACTGCAAGGAGAAAAAAATTCAAGATTTATTAAAGCTTCTCTCTCTGTAGCATTGTGCAATCAGAAATGTATCCAACAGGAAGTAGGTGGAGACAAAACACTTCTCCCATAAAAGTGCCATTTCTTTCAGGAATCTTGATACACAAGAGAGCAATTTTAAAGGAAACACAACATCCCCAACTTGCAACTTGAATACAAGTTGCAAAATACAACCAAGATACAATGTTCCCTGTGGCAGAACAGCAAACAATCTTTTTCCTAACATAAACACACTCACCCACATCAATGTGCATGATACCCAAAGCCAGACCCATTATTTTGGCAGAAGCCAGAAAAACCCACAAACATTTCTTCTCATTTCCGGCAGTAAAAAAAAAACAGTACTAACAAAACAAAGGAACAAAAAAATTGCTGCCTTTTAAAAATATGTATCTGTATAAATCACAACTGAGCTTATTACAAAATGAATGTTGGTATTTTAGTGTTTGACATGGATAGTAATATAAAGCTCTCCAATGCCATCAGCTATCTCTTTTTGATTTGTACTCTGAAGTCCCAGGTTATACAACATTTCATCAGAATTCTTCATATTGAACAGGTGGGCCTAAACATACATGAAATAAACATATATATCTTAATTCCTCAAGACTTAATTTCTTTTGTTACATGCAACTTACACAATACTTGTCCCATGAGTTTAATAGTTTATATGTTGTTTTTGTGCTTTTACTGTAAGCCGCCCAGAGTAGACATTGCCTAGATGGGCGGGATATAAATCAAATAAATAAATAAATAAATGAGCATGGTCTGGCACTCTCTATTTAACTGTCTTACCCTAGGGTTTTCCATCTTTGAGCTATTTCCATTTTTGCCGTTAACTATATTGCTGCTCTTTCATGTCACCTCCAATCTGCTACCTAAGGCAGCCACTTCACTCTGCCTAATAGCAGCAGGACTAGCCCTGCTGGAAGGTACACCTGTGTCTTTGTGATTCCACACAACTGATTTGCAGAACGATCTGCTCCTCCATGCTAAGCACATAACTGTAATAACTGCTGGAAGGTACACCTGTGTCTTTGTGACTCCACGCAACTGATTTGCAGAATGATCTGCTCCTCCATGCTATATAAATGCATAAGCATATAATGTAATAATAGGCTCAAGCGACAGGAAGCCAGATTTAGGTTGACTATCAGGAAAAACTTATTAACTGTAAGATCAGTATGACAATGGGACCAATTACCTCAGGAGGTGGTGAGAGCTTCAATGCTGGAGGCCTTCAAGAGGAAATTGGGCAACCCTCTGTCAGATCTGCTTTGATTTGGATTTCTGCATGGAGCAGGGGGGTGGACTGAATGGCCTTATGAGCCCCTTCCAACTCAGTTATTCTATGATCCCATAACAGAAAAATCAGGGCACTTTCTAACACTCACATTTTCTATTTGCAGGAATCCTTCTTTGAAGGTAAGTGCTTCACCATATTAAACCTTCATATTCAATTTTCAGTTGTAAAATCTTAGGTATATAGCAGACATTATCAGAGCCCATAAAAGCTCTAGGACTAAACTGAAGAGTAGTTGCAAGTACAAAATATATGCCCAATATAAAGTCATATTCAGACAATATTCAGAACACTGGCTTTACGTAGGGACAACATATAGTGCAAATGGAAGCCCAAAATCAAAACTTAAGATGCTGTCACTAAACCATAGGAGAGATACAGCTGGTGAAAGATTTTTTTTTATGATTATGTCTCCCAGAATCTCCCCAAGAGATTTTACCATACCATTCAATCCTATAATTATCATGAAGCATTTATTTTCCTAGAGGGAGAAAAAGCATTGAATCTTTGAAATATAGAAGATATCGAGAGTAAGAAAACATCTTGCAGTTTTAGAAAGCTCTTCGGCTCAGCTGTGCACCTCAAAAGGAACCGCAAGCATCCACCTATATACTGTATGTTGTAATGTTGTAAGCCGCCCAGAGACCTTTGAGTAGTGTGGGCGGCATATAAATTAATAAAATAAATAAAATAAATATTAACATAAAAGAGTTCTCAGGCGAAAGGAAGCGAGTACGAAGGGGAGGAAAGGGCCTGCTTCCCTCTCACGTTCGCCACGAAATAATGCTGGAAGCAAAACCGAGGGCAATTCTGAGGGGGTTTCTCCAGCCACGGCTGAGGGACTAAACCGGAGAAGGTAAAAGGGCGCTCTGAGGAGCACGGCAGGACGGACACACAAACACACACCAACACCACACACCCGCCACTCCCCCACCCCAAGCAGGGAAGGCCGGGGAGACCAGGCTCTCGCTCACCGGCCGAAGGGCCCCCTCCGCCATGACTCCTCCACTTCCAGCCCGCCGGGACGGTTAGTGTCCGTTGCCACGGTTACCGGCCAACCCGGAAGCCCGCGAAAGGCCCGGATATCTGGTCGTCACGGCAACCGTGGCTCGCCTTCCCTCTCCCTCCTCCCTAAGCCGCGATAGGCGTCGAAGCAAAAGCCATAGAGAGGGACAGGAAGTGAGGTCAGCGCGGCGGGAAGTCTCGAGCGCCTCAGAGGCGCGGCCTGGGCCCAGCTAGCTCCCGAGCCTTCTCTGCCTCGTCCTCCCCCTTTCCCCTGAATTGAGCTCGACCAACAAAGCCTGGTGGCCGTAGAACAGAATGTTCCACGTCAGACGCGGGGGGGGGGAAAGGGAGATTAATCGAATGATGGAATTCTCCCCTACGGAAAACACAGATTCTCAACCAGAGCGTTGCTTTTCCGTAGGATTTGAGAAACACTCAAATCCTAGCAAATCCCACGGAAAAGCAAACTGTGTGTTTGTGTAAAACATATACCATATATATATATATACATATCTATCATATATGCGGTATAGATACATATATGATTTGTTAGTGACATAGACAAATATCTACTTACAGTCCTTTTAGCCCAAAGGCCTTTGCTGTTGGAGGATGATGGGGGTTGTCAGCCAGCACCTAGAGGCCCTGTTACAAACCTGTTTTAGCTTCATTGACACCTATGAAGGGCCATCCATGCATTATATGAAAGGTTTATTTGTATTTAAACTATGTAATTTGTGTTCTTAACATAGCAGAGCTCGTTCTGCAGAAATGTAGTGGTGTTAGCTGTACTAGTATTTTGCATTCCAATTTATTACTGGATCTGAGCCAACTGAGGTAGTCACGAAAGTTTTTTTTTTAATTGTGCAAGAAAAAATTAGATGCGATTTAAAAACACACAAAAATTTCTGTTAAATGGAAAAAAAGATAAAACACTTGTCCTTCCGTGTCTAGCAAATCCCATAGAAAACCAAAGATTGGGTTACAATATGATTGTTCGTTATATATGTGCTGGTTTGAGTGGTAGCTGTCAAATTTTCAAAACTTCAGATTAAGACAGGAGCAACATAATTTCAAGCCCAGGCTTGTCCAGCTGTTATTTTTCGTATTAAAAGGTTGACAAATTGCTTTCATAAACTTACATAAAACAGCTATTTTTAATGTTACAGGAGTGTACTGAACTTCACATTGGCAGTTTGACTTTCAGCAGTTTGCAGAAACCACTTTTGTTGAAATACGTTCAATTTTAATGAAAGCGCTCTTGAGCCATTCTGGTTATGGCCATATTCTTCTTTTGTTTGACAAGGTCTGCACTCATCACAATTTGCAAACCGCGGGGATACAATGCAGAATTGCACCTTTGTTGAAATGTTAGAAGACCAGGTGCAACAGAAATGCCTCCCCCCAATTCTTGGGAGCGAGATAGGCTTCAGCTGTTCGGCTACCTTTATGATCCCCAAGACAGAATGCAGAAGAAAAGTACTGTTTCTATGGAAACAGTCCCCAGCTGTGCAGCGCTCATTGTTGCTCAGCTATCCAGCAAGCAGCAGTTAAAAGAATTTTTATCATAAAGCCTCAATTTCAACACCACTACAGAGAAAAAGCATTACAGACAATGCCCACGTTGCTTGCAAACCATCATGCTATAGTATAGGCCTTTTTGTTTGATCTCTTTTTAGTGGTTAGTGGACCGGGTTTCATGGCACTCTTGAGAACGGCTCACGCTGCAGTGGGGCTCCAGAGAAACCCCTCTCTCACAGAGCGAGTACAATCACATCTTTGTATATGCTTGCCATATGGACTTCATCTGCGTGAGCCTGGAAGGGAGTGGGGGATCAACGCTCGCTGGAGCGCAGTCCATTCCCACCAAAGAGACAGAGAAAGGAGGGGAATATGGATTTCCAATGACTCCAGAGAAAGCCCCAGAGGAGTCCCACCAGGGAGCAAGAGGAATTGTCCCAGGGCTTGTGGGGGGTGGGAGTAAAGGAAGGGCAGTTAAAAGAGGTGTGCAAGTCGGCCCCACCAAGTACAGTGGTGCCTCGCTAGACAGTTACCCCGCATGACGGTTTTTTCGCTAGACATTGACCTTTTGCGATCGCTATAGCGATTCGCAAAACAGTGATTCCTATGGGGGAATTTTGCTGGACAATATTTGGTCCCTGCTTCGCAACCCGATTTTCGCTAGACAATGATTTTGACAGCTGCCTCCACGGTCGCAAAACAGGTGTTCTCGGGACCTAAGCTTCGCAAGACAGCGATTTAAACAGCTGATCGGCGGTTCGCAGAGCGGCTTTCCTATGGCCAATCTTCGCTAGACAACGACGATTCTTCCCCATTGGAACGCATTAAACAGGTTTCAATGCATTCCAATAGGGAAATGCTTTTCGCTAGATAATGATTTCGCTAAACAGCAATTTCAGTGGAACGGATTATCATCGTCTAGCAAGGCACCACTCTAATACGTTTTGCAGAACTGGGTGAGCTGTAACCCAAAAGATCAAGGAAGCCAGAGGTTCACCATCCATGCCTTAAATCCTGAATCAGATGTACTTGGCTCAGGCTGTCCCCAACATTTCCAGGATCACTATGGAGAAAGGTAGACCAACAAAACACACAGGGGATAAATCTGCCTCCATTTTCTCATGGTTACTGGTGGCAGTCACTCATGCTACACTAGAGCCACTTACTGACACTACTCAAACACAACCCTGATCTACCGTTGGGTGTGCTGAACAGGACGGATGGGGAGTTGAATGCCAAAATCACCTGGGGTACCAGAGGTTCTTTGCCCTTGGTTTCAGACACTGACAATTCCTTCTTCTAACCGTTCACTCGACTGTGTTCCAAGATGGATGTCTTCCTTATGTGTATCAAGATGAGTTCAAAGTGCACACTCCTTTATTATCACTTTACCAAATGGCCTGTGGACGTTTAATAGAGCGAGACAAACCATTTTTAAAAAAGCATTTGCATTCAACATCTGAAGCTGTCACAAGCGGACAGTTCTAAAGACTGAGCCTCGAAAGGCAGCAAGCCCTTCCAATGCACGAGGGCCTGGAAAGACGGCTTGCTCCCATTTGAAAGCAAGAGGACAAAATTATTGGAAGCAAACACAAAAAACTAATGAAATAACAAAATAAAAGTTTATTAGAATTAGGAACACTTTCTCTCCCTCTGTTTAGCCTTAACACGGAACAGTCCAGCAGTTACAATGAAGTCTAAGAACAGTTAATTCCACAGCATGAGGTGCTCTCTAGATGGAAAAAAATTAAGACAAGTCTTCAGTCAGCCGCAGCCGGGTCCGGTTGTCTTTCAACCCCCTAAGTGCCGGGCAACAGGATCCTCTTGTACACAGAAGGGTTTTTAAAAGAGCACTGCTCCGGTCTTAAGGAATTACTGATTTCTAATACAGCAGTTGTACTAAAAACATTTTTTTGGGGTTAAATGGATTTGAAAAAAATTAAGACTGCCTGATACATATACTACCAAAAACCAAAAAGAACCAAAAGTCGAGCTGCAGTGAATTCAGCGGACATAAGAGGATGGGTGCTAAATACATACCATGCTCTGCTCTCCTGTTGTGTGGCTAGAGGCCCCTCATTCAATTAGCCCATGATAAACTCAGCACAAACCATTATTGTAGCCTATTGCATCAACCAAAGCTTGACAGTAGCATCTTCATGACCAAGTATCTTTTGCTAAAGGAAGGAAGGACGACTTAAAAGGGACCGAAGGGGAGAGGTTTACCAGAATTTTTGTTTTCGTGAGCTCGGTCCAAATCTATACAGTATTGGGGAAAGCACCACCCCCGCTAAGCGGATGATCTTCTGGAGCAGAAAAACACACAACATTATTATATACAGTTTGGATTACAAAAATAATAGGAAAAAGTGGGGGTGGCAAGAGCAAGGTGTTTTGAAATGTTTTTTAAAAAAATGGGATGGGGGGAAAGAATGCTGAAAGCATGACCACATTCATTCATTTTACACACCCGAACACTGTGGCCACCTGTTCCATCAATCCAGTTCCAGGCAAAGAATGCTAATATAAGATTGGGGGGTGGGGGGGTTAATTCATTGATTAGAAATTTCAGGTGACAACATGCAAAGGCATGGCAGAAGGACACAGCAGAATACCTTAGGAGACCAATCAAACCAGTTTAACAAAGCATAAATCTTTGAAGAGATGTTCTCAACCCCCCACCCCCCGAAAGGGATGCATCTTCCACTGTAATCTTACTAAGGGAACAGAATGCCTACGCCTGAGGTGTGCCAGGTTCTCCTTTGGAATATGGCAAGGGAGCGGCACGCGTGAAAATAAGATCCGTTGCACCAAAGCTGTGCATGAACCAATGCAAAGCATAATTTCTGCTAAAGCTACCCAAAACACAAGTGAAGCCAATGTCAATTAGCTAAAAATCTTGCGCTTGCCAGTACAAACTGATAATTCTTTTAGCAGCAAACACAAAAGACATAGGAAAACTTTCTACAACTCTTTCCTATTCCAGACTTTGCAAGGGGAGAGGGGCAGCTGCCGTTGTGTACGCATAAACCAAACAGTTGGATGCACATGGGACTCGCTGAACAGACCTTAGGATAACTAGCCACAGTCTCTCCTTGAAAAAGGAGCAGAAACAGTCCTTTGGAAAAGTGGATGCTATAGATCTCCTCTCACCCCCCAAGAAGGACTGCAGTAGATCTTGCCTGTTTTGTCTTTCCTCGAACTACAAACACTGCCATGGTGGAAAAACACCGTAAGAGTTCCCATGGAAGAGTAGATTTAATTAACTGCATCCAACTGGTGCTTTAAACAATGCTTTTATTTTATAGTAATAATAATCATTTTTTTAAAAAGACTATAAATGAGTATAATAGTTGAAACCCACTCTTCCCACCCATGGGGGGAAAACACCCAGAAACTGCAGTCTCTTGCAACTAGATAGAGTGTCAGGCACTTTTCCCAACCACCTTGCCCCCCAAAAAAACAAGCAACTCCATCTTTGTTTTTGGTGTTTAACACAACGGACAACACAAAACAACGAGGAATGTTCCGTTCGAGCCCTTCAATCCCAGAGAAGCTTCCTAACACTTCCTATGAACAACTATGGGAGGCGGGAACAGGGCGGATGCCCGACGTGCATGGGAAGGGGGCAGAGAGAGGCCAAAAGGGTGGGTGTTCTGAGCAAAGAGACAAACCAGCCGGAACCACTACACTTTCATGTCCAAACGTTGGAACGCACAAGCCGAGTGAAACCAGTTTTGCATCCGAACAAGCTGGAAGTGCAAATGGGACGGTGTCCGTTGCCAGCAATGAACACACCCAAACCATGGAAGAGTCACAAAGGAACGACAGCAGGAGAAGAGGATGAAGAAAATCAAAGTTTTTCTCACCATTTCAATGGGTGTGTTGCATGTGTGTGTGTAAAAAGGGGGCGGGGGGGGAAGAGAGAGAGTTCTTACAGCAGCACACACTGTCCCACCGCCCCCAACCCCTCGTCTCAATCCCAGGTAAAAAGCAAACTGAAAGAAAAATGCACAGCAAATAGACATCTCGAAGATTTTTAAAGAATAAATATTTTTGTAATTAAACATTATGCAAACACGTGCCACGCTTGCTCTTTGTCCATGCATATGCGCTATTTACAATTTTGAAAAATACTGTGTTGTCCTCTTTGTTTTGTTTTTTTAAAAGTCATGTACAAAGTTCTTCCTTGCCGGGTGCCCCTCCCCTCCCCCCTCCCCCAAAATCCTCTTTACAAGAAGCCAAACAACATTCACCCATGAATTGGTGCGTGTGCGGGGGAAGGGGGGGGGAAATCTCATACCAAAGTACATCAAAATGGCTGGTTGGACATGAAAAGCAGTGTCAAGAAACTGTTTTAAATTTCATCTGTAATACGCATAGGAGGAGGGGGAAAAAGTCAGCTTGGAGAATGAAGCTACGTTACAAGTTAAAGTTGGAGGGGTTGTTGGTATTTTTAGTGCGTCTGGTCACACTTACTGGCCACCTAGAATACTGTTGTACAATGGTTTATCTACCTTTTTTATTACAATATAATTTACTTAAATTTCTTTTCCATTAACAAAAACAGAATTCCGGTACTACAGACCAGCGGTGTAATAGGCATAGTGCCCTTTTTTGTGTGTGTTTTGCTTTAATTTCATGAGCACTCTAGATGGTAAAAGGTTTTCAGAGTTCGTTTTATGCAGGCCAGTTTCAGTCCTCAATATACTCCCACAGGTCCTTCTCGTAGCCTTCATGCACGTGTTGCAACAAAACCCTTCGTCGACTCTCGCAGTATCTGCAAGGGGGGGCAAGCGCACAAGAACAAATGAAAAAACTTACAAGCTTTCTGCGAGATGGATTTCAAGGCAAGGCAGAGCAACTTTGGTATGGAGACCAGTGGCTCCGTGAAGATACCTACCATGGCTAAGTTTTGCGACGAAAGCTAATAGAGGCACACGGTTCTGATCAAGCCAAAGGCCCAATTCAGTCATCTCCAGCATATATTTCAGAGACTTGAGTGGCCATGGCTTCCTGCCTAATATCGGTTATGCTTACTAATGCCACGGCAGTGATGGTCCAACCTTCCCTGATAATCATTAGCACTTGTAGTGGATCTTGGCCTGATTCCCAAGGACTCAAGGCTGTTTATTGTGGCAGAGGCACAATTGCCAATATCTCCAGCATATATTTCAGAGACTTGAGTAGCCATGGCTTCCTGCCTAATATCCGTTATTCTTACTAATGCCACGGCAGTGACGGTCCAACCTTCCCTGATAAACATTAGCACTTGTAGTGGATCTTGACCTGATTCCCAAGGCTGTTTATTGTGGTAGAAGCACAACTGCCAACGCTCTGCAGACGTCCTGGCCTGCAACAGTACTCCTCAGCCAAAGCATGAAGTACTTACATTTTCTGGTCTGCATCTCCCAGAAGCTACCAACCAAGGTCTTGCCCTGCCCACTAAACACCTGCCACAAACCAAGTCTCTATGTGTCAAGAGGTTGCATTTTGCCCACTGATTCTCCATGCCTCAAGTAGACCTGCAGATGTAAAGCTACCATGTGAGACTCCTTGGTAAGGGAGGAAAGACACAGTTATTTTATGTCTCAGAAGGCAAAACACCCTTAGAGAAAAAACACTTCAAGGTCCCCCCACATGCAACCTAAGCTCAGTTTCTTCCTCCTGCTTAACAATCTGGTATTATTTTCCCCCCGTAAGGAACATCCTTGACTACCAAGATCATCTGTCCTATGCTAGGGGTTAGGATAACAGTGGAGTGAAATAGGCAACAGCTAAGAAGTCCCTGTGAATCTAGCTTCTTACACTGCGCAAGCAAACTTAATGTTGCCTCATAATGGGCTTTGCTGCTAATTCAAGTTGCTTGTTCCAAAAGGGGCAGCAGATCAAGAAATGCGGCTGAAGGCCAAGAGCAAAAGAACCCATCAGTCGCCCTCCCACACGGATGACCTTGAGAGCAAGCTGCCATCACCAGTGGCTGGAATCTTATTGCAGGACAAGGGGCAGCAATTTTGCAGGCAACAGCATTTCAGTCTCTCTCACACAAAGGTACATTCACACGGCCACTTCCTAGCAGCCAGGGCCTTAAGACAGCTTCAAGGTCCCTCTCAGAAACTTTAGCCACAAAAAGAGACTGTGGGCTCTGAAGGAGAAGCATACCTGTATTTGTCTTGCACTTTTTGCTTTATGTCTTGCAGTGAATCTTGGGATATATCTCGTTCCAGATACCCAGAAAGGACCTCGGTAGCATTTTCCAAATCTGCTTGATTATTCTGGGAAGGCAGAAGACAGAAATGCTCTTTTAAAACTAAGACAACTCAGTGATTGAGAATAAACAATGCTGAAATAAGGACCGAAGGATTAGTGGAAGGCAAATTGTGTGAAGCTCCCCACTAATTGTTTCTAGCAAGTTTTCACTGCAGCCTCCTCCAGAGTTTTTCAGCAGGCACAACATTTCTTCTCCTATTTATTAATACCTATCAGCATATTCTCTTGATCACTGATCGACAAAACTGTGTTTTGTAGATATCTTTAAAGCAAAGGGAAATAGATCTACGAGACGACTGCGTATTTGGTGACATTATATTCACATTTCACCGACTATTCCTTAGAGGTACCTACATAATTCATAATACGGATGCTTTCGTTCAAATGGGCGTAATTGTAACTCTCACATTCAACAAAGATTTACGTTCCCGACATAGCTAACAAAGGAATACAGTTACAAAATAAATTATCTTGTCAATACAAAATAGTGATTATCAAGGCATACAGGGGAAAGGAACATAAATGGACGTAGACAGCTGAGGCACACCCACTTCTTTCTGAACAAACCACAGTTCCTCATGACCTACAGACATAGTCATAGGCTTTACTGTAGTACATAAAGCATAGACTGATCTTCTTCTAAAGCTCCTTGGTGTCCTCCAGCATCCAGCCGATACTTGCAATATGATCTCAAGTGCCTCTTCCTTTTCAAAATCTAGCTTGAACATCAGCCATTTCTCGCTCCATATAAAATAAAAGCCTTTGTTGCAACACCATGAAGATCACTTTGCTTGCATGGGAATTTAAGGCAATGATCCTATAGTTACTACACCCCTTGGCATCTCCTTTGGTAGGGATTGAAAGGTCTACTGAATGTTTACAATCTATGGCCCATTGTTTTGTTTTCCATATTGTTTGGCATTTTCTTGTTACAATTTTGACAGAGTCTGTCTGTCTGGCTTGAAATAGTTCTATTGGTATCCTGTCTACCCTTGATGATTTATTTCTTCCTAATCTGGCTTGAAATAGTTCTATTGGTATCCCGTCTACCCTTGATGATTTATTTCTTCCTAGTGCAGCTGCCTTGAAGTGGGTGGATGCATCTTCGTCTGGTGTCTCAGCTGTGACCATTTTGCCTTGGGTGACCCTGCTGGAGTCCAGGCTGGTAATGGAGTCTGGCCTCCTGATGGCACTGCTCTCGACTTCACTGACACACTCAAACTCCTTTAGCACATTAAGGGGTGAATCCAAGAAGGGGGAGCAAATTCTAGTTTAAATTAAAAAAAAAAAGATTTACATAACTTGCAAGCTATTTTTCAAAACTTGTCATTCACTTTGGAGTCTGTTGCACAGGGCCTCTAGACCCAACCCTGGGTTCCCCAGATGTCACTGGACTAAAACTCCCAGACACCTTTTCACCACTAGCTGTGCTGGCCAGGATTTCTGGAAGCTGGAGTCCAAGAACATCTGGGGACGCAAGGTTGGGAACCACCAGGAACTAGTGGTTGGGAACGAGAGGGCTCCTACTGCCCCGTGTATGTGCGTTTCAAACAATCAGACAACGCGTATGTCTAATACAGCAAGAGCCAGCCAGCACAGTGCTGTGCCCAGGTGGACCATTAGAATGGCAGTACACAATACACGTAAGAACTTGAATTAGAAAGCAAGCTTCTGTACTAAGTCCCAATTGACTAGATAACTGACTGCAGAAGAACACAAGGACACAGATGTTCTGGGACAAAAAAAAAACCCACTATACAACTCTGAGGCCACCATAGAAGAGACCTTTAAAAGAAGTCATTGGAAGAAACAAGCAGTTGCTATGGAGCCTTCAACACCGTTGTTGAGAATTCAAAACATTTGTATACCTCCCTTCACCCAACGGTTTCTAAAGAAGCACACACGTATCCACAGGGCAGCTCCCTCCCCAACCATACACATGATCGCCCACTTACAATTCTCAGAATGCCCCACACTCTCCAGCCAATGGCCACTCTAGCTGAGGAATCCTGAGAGCTGAAATCTTTAAAAAAATGTTAGCCTTGCAAGCTCTGATCTGTATACTGCCAGGCTGCTCTCCATGAAGCCTTGGGCCGTCCTTCCTTACCTCGAAGATAATGGACTGATTATTCTTTTTGAGGTAGAAGGCAAAGACGTAGGTGTACATGAGTGTGGCACGGCACTGGCAGAGAACATCGACTGCTTTCTTCAGGAACTGGACTTCGATCCAGGACATGTTGTGCTGCTGCATCTCCTCCATCTTCTGCTTGACTTGGGCGTAGAGTTTGTGCTCAAAACGCAGGCTTTGCATATGGTTCATGTAGCGGTTGCAGTAGAAGAGGTACCTCTGCAGGGCTGCTCTGGATCGCTGTGTTAATTCCCATTAGGGAGAAAGAAAATCAATATTTAAAACAGAGTAAGGCAAGGTAGCTCTCTCGTTATCAAAGAGGCATCAAAGGCTAATAGGATAAAAAACAGGGCCAAGTTACTGCCTTATTTCAGCAGCCCCAAAGTACACAGAGAAATTACTGCCCAGCCCTCTTAGCACAGCACTAAAAGCCAGTGTGGTGTCTATTGATCACCATTATCGAGTTGCAACTTGGAAATCCAAGTCCCCAGTTGAGGAAGGAAATTCACTAACTGACTTTGGGCCAGTCTCCTTCACACTGGCACACCTTGCAGGGCTGTTGCGTGGACAGAGTGAAGAGGGGAGCAAACCAGAGACATCAAACCTGAGCTCACAGGAGGAGAAGCAGGAAGTAATTGAAGAGAAAAAAATTAAGACCAGTACAGCAGCAGCAAGTTTCAAAGTGGTCCAGGAAGAAAATAGCCATCACTTTGTGAGCACCGAGGAGCATTATGAAATCATTGTGTGCAAGGGGTCCTAAGGCACATTTACGGATGCACTACTCTCTCGTCACTCTTCTCTAGCAAGGTACTCTATTCATGCAGTGTTCAAACATGTTTGTTTCTCTGTGTAAGAACATGGCAGCAAAATCTGCTCAGCAGCAGGCTGTGCGACAAAACAGGCGCAAGTGGCACACGGTTAAAAGAAATCACTCGGACGGAAATGCCTGCATAGGGAATTCGTCTGGTAGAAAGCACCACTCAGATAATAACAGTAAAAAAAAGAGTTTCAATGATTTGACACTGCTTAAAGGAAGGAGGAATGGAAAACAATCATGCTCTGATTCAAGTTCATGCTAAGTTCCCATAGATTTAGAAAACCACCAGCGTTCTGATAGCAGAAAGCAACAGGCATAAGGGTGGGCAAAATGCAGCGTACAAATTGCATGTAGGTGCCTAACGCCGCCAGGACTTTTAACAGGGGTGGGCTGGGGGCAGGCCTGAGGCCTCGGGAGCACATATTGTCCGCAGAGCTCCAAAAGCGATCCTTGCCTCTTCTGATGTTTCTTTTGATGCATCAGTGCTCAAAGATCACCAGCTCAGACAGAAAATGTGAATGGAAAGAGAGAGCCAGTCAAAAATCCTCTTCTCGAAAGACACTTTCACCAAGAGTTATGGACTCACCTCTTGGGCATCTCGTGCTGCCTTGGCATCATCCTCATTGTAGCGATTGCAGTTGTACCTGGAAATATATTTGTAAACACATGAGAGTTTCTAAAGTGGCCTCTCCTATCACTCTGTGGGTCTGCAACAGTATTTCCTCCACCAGCACATCCGTGGAAACCTGAAAACAAGCTACCTGTAGAGCTGGTAGCCTCCAGAGCATATGCTCAGCTAGAGGCTCCTCCACCCCTTCCCTTCTCTGGCCCTAAAAATATATAGAGGACTGAAGACAGTTTTATGTATGATATATATGATGAAAAAAGGAGCTATTTCATTCATATTTACTACTTGATGAGTCTTTTTGCTTCCACTGGAATTCCTTCGCACAGCACATAATCAAAGCAGGGCAATGCAACACTTGTTTTTAAAAAATATCAAGAAATAGCCATTTTAGCATACCAGGCAGATCCGTGTGGCTCCCAAGGGCCAAGACACACCCAGCAAAACTCAGCTTTACAATTCTGGTTCCGACAGACCATGTGATTGCAGCCACCATCCTTCTCTATGGTCACATGACATTTGGGGCATTCCTGCAAAGCATAGGGAGAGTGGTAATAAGGAACAGAAACAGACAAGTGTCTCCTGCTTTGAAGAAAGGACAGAGGGGGAAGCAAATGCACAATATTTCAAAGGAGTAGGTTTTCTGGTCATGTGTCCTGCTATAAGCTGGCTTCCTGTTGCCCCCTTAGCAGTTTAGCAAAAAGGCGATCTTTCAGACCAGTGACAGAAGACATCCAGCTGATGCCAACAACAGTTTCACCTCTTTCTTATGGAATGGCCTTCCTAGGAAGCTGATCAACAGAATTCAATTCATTAATTAAAATACGTATACCTTCCCTTTCTCTTCAAGAGGACTGAAGACAGTTTTATGTATGGAATGTCTATACATATTACATACTAATAAAATAATGGTGTGCCATCAAGTCAAGTCCGATTTAGAGTGGCCCTTTCCATGATTTTTTAGGTGTAGAGCACTCTGAACTGGTTTGTTATTTCCCTTGTTTTGGGGACGCTCTGGGACTACATAACTGATTGATTACAACTAACGTTTGAGCAGCCCCCGGGCCCACCTCCGTCGTTACACAACAACGAGTGCTTGCAAAAACGCTGCAGCAACACAAAGTCTTAAAAGAGCCAACAGGGCTCAACAACAAAACTTAAGAACTTTAGTGTGCCAGGGAATTGACTTTACTCCCAGAGTCTCTAGGAGGATGGAAACCCCAGAACAGCTTGCCGCTTGGAGGAGTGAAGCCCTGCCACCTCAACCAGTTCCAAAATCCCATTCAGGTGGGCCAGACGCAGACTGGATGCTGAATGCAGGCACTCAATTGTCCTTGGAGCAGCGTAGTGTGGGCTCCCTCCCCTGCTACACCTCCAGTCTCCACATAGGGCAATCGCTCCCTGGAGGCACGGCCAAAGTCTATCCTGACCTTCCTTGGCTCTCCGGAGTAGCGAGGCGCTGCAGGAGCAGGTCTGGATGGATGGCCACCGGACTGGCGACGACGCGGCTGGTTGGGAAGTCTCTGCTGAGGGGGCCACTTGGCCCTGCTGCTTCCTCTGCTGGCGGTGCACCCATCTCTGAATCTTGAGCCTGATTGCCCCTCATTGCCAGGCCTCATGGTGGTGAACCCAAGCAACCACATGCAATGACTTGTACCAGGATCATGGCGGTGGGTAGTCTCCCAGCCAGCTGTTGGCTGTGTTGGCCATGGCTGTACTTTCTGAGCCTCAAACGCCTCCCAATCGACAACATCTGCCCAACAGTCCTCCTCTCCTGTCTTACTTCTCTCCTTAAATTCTATCCTGGCCATTGCTATGGCCTCGAGGGCATCATCCGTGTCTCCGCTGTCAATGCCCCAGTCCACAGATGAACTGTGGGTTGGGAATCTCACCCTGACTCTTGGAGAGGGGGAGTGCCCACTCCCACTGGCAGGGGGATAAGGGCTGGTCCCACATGCCTCCCCCTCCAAGGTGGTATCCACCTCCTTGTCTCCACCGTCCGAAGGGCCCTGCCGAGAGAAATAGTCCATGTTAGCAGGTTGTAGACCCTTCTGATATTGCACTCAGAAGGCAAACAGTTGCAAGGTCTTTGCCCTTGTTGGAACCCATCCATGGGGAAGCTGGAGGTGCAACAGCTGCCTGTTTGGGTATGGGTGTCATCTGGGTGGGCCCAGGAGCTGTTCTTAGAGCCAGGCGGTACTCCAGGATCCAAGTCTCTTCTGCCCCCCAATAAGATTCCAATAGAACTAGGGAACTAGGCTAGAACCTTGCTACCCAGCTCTGGGGCTTGTGTGGAATCCAACTGCTCCGTCACTCCACTATCCTGTTGGCGATGTTGGTTGCCGGCTTTAACCATCAGGTCTCATACGCACACATTTTCTGTGCTACTCCCCAGGCATGTCGTGTTTCTTTTAAGGGTACATCTTGAAACTACTCGTGGGTAGGCTTCTTCAGACAGGTTCAATGCGCTTAGAATGGCTTGCTGTAACTAATCTGGTCAGCAGCATCATTAGGGTCCAACACACCCACAACTTCTCATGCAAACCCTGTAAGGCACCGAGTCGTTCTCAATGGCCGTTGTTCCTTAGGCCATTCAGCGGCAATAGCCGCCCGATCAAGCATGTTCAAGAAAGCCTCAGGTCATCATGTGGAGTCATTTTCTGCACCTGAACAGGCAGGGGCCCTTGGATCCATGAAGAGCGGTCTATAGAGGCAGGCATGGCCTGGATGAGGTCAGCCACCTGCTGTTGGCCCCCACCAGCACACATTGTTGTTTTGCCATGTGTTGAATCAGGTCTTCTTGCTTCTCCATGGCCCAAGCGGCCCTCAGGCCCCCCTCCATCAAGAAATGACGAGCGCTTACAAAAAAAACAGGATCTTTACTGGAGCAACAAAACACCTTAAAAGAGCCAAGAGGGCTCAACAACAAAGCTTAACAACTTCAGGGCCCCAAGGCGTTGATTTCACTCCCAACGTCTCTACGGGGTGTAAACCCCACCACAGCCTTCTACTGGGAGGAGTGGAGCCCTGCTTCCTCCACCAGTTCAAGAACTCCACACAGGTGGAGCCAGGCATGGATGCCACAACATGGATGTTTAATACAGGAACTCAACTGTCCTTGGGGCAGCGTACTGTGGACTCTCTCCTCCGCTATGCCTCCACTCTCTGTTGGTGGCAGCCACTCCACAAGTGTGCTACTTCTCCCCGGAGAGAGGCCCAAACCCTATCCTGGCCTGCCTTGGCTCCCCAGAATACTGAGACCCTGCAGAAGCAAGTCAAGACGGATGGCCGACAACTGGGTTGACTGGGAGGTCTCTGCTGAGGGGTGCTTGCCCCTGCGGCAACCTCTGCTGACGGTGCACCCATATCAGATTCTCAAGCCTCTTTGCCTCTTGTCACTAGGCTTCACTGTGGCAAATCTGAGCAGCCTCCTTGGGTGGGAGGGGAGAGGAATTCCACCCAATGACCCACATCAAGATCATGATGGTAAATAATTTCCAAGCTGGCAATCAAACCTTCTGGCCATGGCTGCACCCCCTGAGCCTCGAGTGCCCTCCCAATCAACAGTGTCTGCCCAAACGTCCCCTCCTCTCCTGCCTCATTTCTCTCAATAAGCTCTACTGTGGCCTCGAAGACATTGTCTACATTTCCGCTGCCAACACCACAGGCCAAAGGTGAACTGCAGGTTGGGAATCTCGCCCTGACTCTCGGGGAGATGAATCCACTCCCACTCACAGGCCAAAGGTGAACTGCAGGTTGGGACTCTCGCCCTGACTCTCGGGGAGATGGAGAACTCACTCCCACCAGCAGGGGGGTTAGGGATGGTCCCAGAGGCAGATTTAAGTCCACTTGGAGTGAACTGTTGAAGCTCCACATACAGTGAATGAAAACGCTCATGCTGAGTGCTGCTGTTCAGTCATGGAGCATAGCTTTACATACAGAAGGTCCTACATTAAATAAGTAGAGTGTAAGGAAACAGTGATTCAGGTGGGCTAATAACCTGACTTCATATAGTAACCTCTTGTGCATCTGTGCTTAGCAAGTGGCATACAGGTACGTACTCTCAGCCTATAATGAACTCCAGTGACTCCCGGTCTGACAAATGCTTTTTATTTAAGCTCCAAACCCTCTTCTGTAGCAACGCTACACAGAGGCACAACACCCAATACCTTTTGATTATACACTTACTTTGAATTGAAAAAGAGAGGAAAACTGCAGTCACCTTCAATACACTCTTTACTCCTCACTTCCAAGAGAAAAGGTATTCTTCTGCTATCAAACTTTGCATATCTATGGTATTTATATCCCGCTCAGAGTGGTATAGATTTACCAGATGAGCGGGATATAAATCAAATCAAATCAAATCAAATCAAATCAAATCAAATCAAATCAAATAAATAAATAAATAAATAAATAAAGCCTTCAAACCTTTGTGTTTGCTGCAATCCAATTAGAAGTTTCGCTGTCATCATCACACTTCTTAATCCACTTCTTTAACCACTGTCAGGAGAGGGAGAAAACCATTTATTCCAAAAATATCACAGAAAGATTGACACAAGTCATCAATAAGTATCATATGAAAATGATGATCTACAAACGTACATATACGTCTCATAGCTCATAGGCTAACTAGAGTAACCAAAACTGTACAAATCTTTAGAGATCCAAGGCACAACCCCAAAGGCCATAATTACACAGAATTGTTAATAAACATGGAGGAATTTGTGTATTTAAGTCAAGTAAGACTGACTCGAAGAGGAATTTCTGACAGTTCTTTACTAAGCAGTCAATATTGGATTTGTAATGTGACTGCATTAAATCCCTTCCGTTCAATGGAATTAAGTACAGAAATAAGCAGTAGCCAAAATATCCCCATCAAGTAAAGGACTGCTAATTTTGTGGACATGATCAAACGCCCTCTAAATGATTCAGACTAGAGATGGGCACAAACCGCCGGCTCAATGCTTCGCGCTAGTTCGTTTTTTTGGCCGGACAGGTAGGTGTTTGGTGCTGCCCAGCCCCGTTTCATCTGGTAGGCGCCCACTCAAGAGCCGGCGCCTGGAGGAGGCGGGGAAGTGTCAAAGGCCAAAACCTAAACCAGAACGAACTGCCAGTTCATGCTCACCTCTAATTCAGACTTCTATTCCACTTATCTAAAAGGATTTTACCGGTAGCGAGTCATCATCACATCATACGTAAGTTAAGACCAGCTAACAAGGAAACACAGCCTCGGGACCAACAGAAGATGCTGTCACAGAAAATGTCCTGGAGATTATTAGGAACTTTGCTGATCTTAGCAATCGCCAGAGAGAGATCTTTTACCATTGTGAGATTTAAGCAATGTCCCTTCCCCACCTCCAACATGCACAATGGAGAGAGAAAGTTTCAAGCGCTCACCTTGCACTTAACAGGATCATGCCAGTTCTCACCACAGTTAAAGCTGCAAAAATTGTAAAAGTTCACACATCAGAGCCTACACTTAAAAAGCACCAGAATTTGGAAGTTTACTCTAATGCATGTCTCCGACCTGCCCACCCGCCATATATCCCATGAAACCAAGCTGATGATGATGATGATCGAGCCCACCCCTTGTCACAGAGGTACTGTGGGGAACTGAACTCCCAACCTCTGGCTCTGCAGCCAGATGCCTAAGCCACTAAGCTATCCAAATGTCTACCAGCAGCACACTGTGGTTTTCTGCATGCTTGATAATCTCTATTTCTACAACCCCATGTACAGGGAAAAGGAAAAGGAAAGGAGGGGGGAAAAAGAGATGGAAGAAAAGCATATCAGCCCTTGAGCAGGCCACATTTAGTATATTGGTCATAAGCTTTATAGCCCTGCCAACAAAAGCAATTTGTCAACTCTAGAGGACCAGCAGCTATAGGTGCTGCTGCTTAGCTTACAAAGCGCCAATCGCCGACACTCAAGTAATGCTTGCTTACCAAAATTGTCGGCCACATTTACAACGAACGGGCTTCGCATCAGGGTATTGTACTTTAACAACATGGTGGCAATCAGGAGCAGGACACCATTTTAACAGTCAGTTGCACTGCATAGTTAAAAAGAAAAAAGAAAAACCAGAAGATTTTTGACAATCAGACAGAGCAGAACAAAAGCCACAGTCCTATACACTCAACCTGGCTTGAGTTTCTCTGAACGCATATTTCTGAGTAGGTAAGGACAGAACTGCACTGAGAAAGCCCAAATAATCCTGCAGCTCTTTCCTTCCATGAGCCACTGTTCATGCATAGCTCCATTTCGCTAAGATCACCTCTCCTGTTTTGGTACGGGGAACATCTCCAGCACCTCCAGATATGAAGAAAAGCTCACAGAATCAGTAACAAAATAATTGAGAAAGGATCCCTACAATATGAATGGGCTGCATTCTACGCCTCCTGAGCACTTAGAAGTACATCCGTCCATAGTTCTTAAGCTATTTTAGCTGCTTGTTTAAACTTTAAACCAGGAGTGGATGACTTGAAATATTTTTAAACTGCAGCTCCCAACATCGCTCACCATTGGATATGCCTGACAGAGCAGTTAAGAGTTGTAGGCTTAAAATATCTGTAAGGCCACACTTGTCGACCCCCGCTTTATATAAAGACACATTCTGGATTTCAGATTTTTTTTTAAAAAAATGAAGAAGGCAGCAAGGCAGGGATATTTTAGAAATGATGGTTCAACTAACACACTATAGGTGCAATCATTCAAAATTCCAGTGAACAGACCCAAAATGTGTGTGTGTGTGTGTGTGTGTGTGTGTGTGTGTGTGTGTGTGTGTGTGTGTGTGTGTGTGTGTGTAAGTAAGGTTGTAGGCACTACCTTTTTTTAACTGCAAGGACTGCCCATGAGTCAAGTGATTAAAATTCCCGTTGCCAGCTCAGCAACGTAAATTCAGTAACAATTACTTCCTTTAATCTTCCAAACAGCTGTCTATAGTCATTACATTAGGGATCCAGGATTTCACCTTTCTCTGGCAGGATGCCATACTCTAAACAGAAAATGCTTTCCTATTTGAAGCAGCACCCCAGCTAACACAATTTCACCTAGCATGCCTCCTTTCATAACATACACTCGGAACCTGAATCTCCAACTGAGCTGCTGAAAAAGACTGACGTTAGCAAATGTGCTAACTCCCACCCTTCCAATATTTGCCAAAATTCTGACTCTTGATCATCAGAAATGAACACAAATGCCTGACATAAAAGAGAGAGAAATGACAGTTTGTCTATGCTGCATGCAGTTTTCAAGTGAACACTCACCTCTACAAAACTATTAGTTATTAAATGCTGGTACTTTAATTTAACTTTGGAATCTGTGATCAGGCGCCTATTAAAAGAAAAAAGAATATTTCATTGAAAACACATTTTCCCCACCCATCAAGAAGGAAGTCATTATTTCACACATTGTCCAAATTCCCCCCCACCCCCACTGTGGGTCAAAAACATGTACTCTTTTCTTCTTGACTTCTCTATCTAGAACCAGAAATGAATAGAAACCACCTTCCTCCTTTGGAAGATTCCTTCTGAGATACTACATTTTTCTTACATTTGCTCAGAATTATTTGTATTGCTGCCACAAAATCCTTCAGAAAATCCAGAAGCGTTTCTAATCTTGGTGTTGATTATTCTTTATTTTGATCCCAGTGCAGTTCAGCAATAAGCAAAGAGAAAAAACAGTGAGGGGAGGTGCCATCACCATTACTATTCGGCTTCTGTTTTATAATCCCCTGAACTCTTTCCTCTGAATTGGGTGAAAGTCTGAATCTTATTGAGAAAGAACCTTGGCAAGATGGGAGTCACTGTGGATAGATACTACTTTTTAGCTCTGCAAAGTCATTCTTCAAGATGGGGCTGCACCTCCTTTGAAAGACCACGTGTGAATTTCCAGGGTCCTCTCTGGCGCTCTTCTGTCACTAGAAATCCCAATGCCTTCAGCGACACCATTTAACAACCGTGTGCTGGACCTACTTTAGGAAGGAGTTAACAATGGCCCCCTTTGGGCTACCTAGTCCAATTCAAGTGCTGGTGCTTCTCTGCAAAGACTGGGGACTTTATAAATCTGTCTCTTGCCACTGTGTCCCTGCATGAGGCTTGCAACAGCAGGTACACAAAGATCTACTCCTCCTTATGTGTTCACAAAAGGGAGGGCTTTCTCTGCAATTCTGCAATGCCCTCCCATGAAGGTCACCTAGCAGCAACACCCAATTCCTTGTTGTGCCAGCTGAAAATAATTTTATTTGCCAAGCATTTTAAAACTGATCGTGTTTTCCAAGGGTTAAGAACAAAGGGGAACCTGCTTAAATACAAACCAAAGGCCTTTTTTCTCCTCACATAGTGGCCAACCGCAGTGGCTGCTGATTTGTTTCCAGACCCAGCTCAAAATACTGGTTATGATGACCTGTAACGTCCTATACAACTTGGGTCCACGGACAGGCCTTCTTTGCTCTTACGACATCCAGGCGAGGCTCTTCTCTCAGTTCCACTGCCCTCTCAGACCCATTTGGTGGGGATGCAAGAGAGGGGGGGCTTCTCTGTGGCTCCTCTTAGGTCGGAGTATGCCCTCCCACAGGAGACTAAGCTGGTCCCCTCCCTCTTGTCCTCCTGGTGACAGCTGAAGACCTCTTAGGTTGGCTTTTGACAGCTAACATACATACCATATATTTCCGTTTATAACACGGCCCCGTTATAAGACCCCCCCCATTTCTAACCCAAAAATTAAGAAAACAGAGCTTTGAGTATTCAGCCTCTGGGCTCAGAACACTCAGACATTAGGAGTCCCTGTTGAATCTGAGCCTACAAGCTCCACCTGCAACGAGGTGTGTTTTAATTGGTTTGTTCTGCATCAGCTGACGTCAGTTCCATAAGGCTCGTGATTGGAGGAAGCAAAGCCTCGTGGCTAGAGATGTGGGTATTCATATACGAATATCCCCCATGGGTGGAGATAACGAGGGTTATCCTTAGTCCTGGCAGAAGGCGGGATGATGAGCCTCTCTGCCAGGTCGCAGAGCGGCTAATCCATTGTGAGCAATGGAGCGACAGGAAGGCTCCGTCGAGCTTGTCTCAATGGTGGAATCATGAGTGGACTGTCCAGCCCTATGCGGCTGGACCCTTGTTATCTCGACCTGGGGGGGGGATATTTGTATACGAATACCCCCATCTCTACTTGTGACTGAAGCAAGCCTGTTTACAGAGGCAAGGTGTGTGTCGTTTTGGTTCTCTCCTCAGCTATCTCAGTTTACTTCCACGCATAAGACGCACCTCAATTTTTAGTGTAATGATTTTAAGAAAAAGTAGCATCTTATAATGGAAAAATACAGTACACGTACACACACACACACACACACACCAGTATCTATCAGAAGATCAAGACCAGGACATTAGAGCAACATTCTTAATATACTGCCTCTCAATTCTATTATATTGATGACTAAACCTGTAATGTCATCCTATTTTATTTTAATTCCATGTACACTGCTCTGAGGTTTGTTGCAGCTGAAGATGTGGCTTGGATATTTTGAAAATAATTAAGTAACCTATTAACCTGCACGATGTAAATGTCCTACCATGACTGTTTATTACTGAAGCTATTCCAGAAACCTACTTATTACTGGAATATTTACAAAGTTTTCTGCGTACAGAAAAATGGGATACAATTAGACTTCATATACAAGAAACTAGTACGAGCACAGTGAGAACTGCGCAATGTGAACACTGAAATGACTGAACAAAAACAAGAGATTGAACGGAACAGATAGCAACAGGTTCAGCCTAGGAAAGTTGACATATGCTCTGCAGTTGTGACAACCCGGGTAATATTATTCCAAAAGAAGTCCACCAGGCAACAAATCTATCACAGTTGTGGAGTTCAGTAACAATGCTGATCTCTGCATGAGCACTTGAAGGCTGTACAAAAAATTGTCTGTTTAATCTACTGATTAATGTAGTATGCAACTGCCATATCGTCACTGAATTAAAGTCACTGGCACTGCTCCTCCTGAAACTGTTTTTTAAATTGTATTCTTGAAGGCTGTTTTTAAAATTGTTTTGGACACTTTTCAATACAGAAAAAGTACAGAGGTACTTTAAGAATCAGTGATAATAACAGTAATTAAGCACTTGTTGGAGCATAGGAACGATAACTAATTACATCATTAAAAACAGGGGGGAAATATATATAGTGTACAGCATGTACAGCATTCTTAAACAGGCTGTGTGTAGGATCTTTTCAACTAGATCATTTGAGCCACTGATTCAGGGAGAAGAATCATACTCTGGGGCAAATATAACACAATCATCAGCAAGTAAGTAAAACTTCAGTTCAAATTTCTGGACTCTCTCTCTCTCCACTGGCTTCTTATACACAACCTACTAGGAACGCAACAGAACTTTGGTAATGGATGGAAGTTTAAGAGAGGCAATGTGATATAGTGGTTAGACTCACGGACTGGGATTAGGAGAGCCGGATTCTAGATCCGACTTTATCTAAACCACAGAAAGCAACCCTCAGCTAATCAGTTTCTCTCTCCTTGAAACCGCTCACTGAACTGTTGTGAGGATGAAGAGGAGGGGAACAGAATCGTGCACACTCCCTTAGGAAGCAAGGAAAACCCTAGCCATCTGAACTGGAAACAACTTTATTCAAAATCTTATTCTTTGTGGAAGCAGGGTAGCAAAAAAAAAGGCCTGCTTCATTGCCACACAACTTCAAAAATTTTGTTCTCCATGTTCCCCCATCATCTGAAACACAGCCATAGGCACACAAAAGAATTTTGTCTACAGCACTTCAGGTGATTATTCCGAAAGAAATCTGACCGACCATCATTCCCTTGAGTTGTAGCAACGTTACTAGTTTAGAAAGCTTTTTGGAAAAGAGTACAAGACAGTCTTAGAAAGGATGCAGATGCCACAACCATGAACCACTGGTACTTTTCACTGCTTTGGAAGGAGAGGCTGGCCTTTGGAAGCTGCTTTTATACGTCTCACCCATGAGAAAAATTCCAATAATCTCACTCACGGCAAAGCTGCAATAAAAACCATTTTAACAATGTCTGCAAGATAGCAACCGAAAGGGAAAAAAACTGCCAGCACTGATTTCTAAGATTAAACAGGGGAAGATTTTCACTCCTCCCGTTTCCATTCCCATTATGTCAGTACCTGCGGACTGGTGTTGTGCACTTCCATCGTATCTCATAAAGAAGAAACTGATAACATGTTGAACACTACTGACTCACCTAGTGATACTCGGCAGGGTCAGATCACATCATCGGTCTCCAGAGGAGGACTGTCTACCAGCAGGTCAATCAACAACATCTGAAGCTACAGCCACTGGCCCAACACGCATCAGACTGCAGTGGAGCCTTTTTTTAACCATGTTCTTCACCCAATCAACTGCCCCTAAGAAAATCTCTATCCTCAGACATCTAAGTGAGCTATGGCAGAGCCTTTAGACTCAGCACAAGAGGAAGGAAAATGAAAAAAAAAAGTAAAGGTAGGTACCACCAGTTCTGGAAGTTTTTATTGCAATCAGATGCAATGGAAGTAGTTTCAGAGGGAGGAGCCAAATAGCACTGATTTCTCAGCAAAGCCAACAGAATGGGCTAACAATATTAAAATACAAGTTACTTTTCAGAGTAGTGACTGAAATCTCCTTTGTAAAATGTTAGATAAGTCAGGGATTTCCAATGTTTAGCCCTCCAGGTATTTTTTTTCAACTCCCCAAATTCTCGGTCACTGTGTTTAGTAGGCGCTTCTGGCAGCTAAAGTACAAAATATCTAGAGGGATAAAGGTTGAGAACTACAGTATAAAATATACACCAACAGAAACACTACCCATACTTGGACGTATTTTACCACTGATGTAAATTCCAATGCAGTTAAGTAAGGCAGACAGAATAGGGGAATTTTGGTAATTTCATGATAGCAGCCTTCCCAGTAAGCCTACTGCTTATCTTCCTCACTCTATAAAGATGCTTTCAAATCTCTGTCTCCCACTTCACCCATTCCTGCATTCCCAGTCTGAAAAATCAATCAGCAAGTGGGCAAGCCAATGGCTAGAACATGGTGAACCCGTTCTGAAATACAATCCACAATATTATCCCCTAACACATGTACTTTAGACACTCTTCTACTGTCCATGAAGGGACAAGAAATTTCCACAAGAACATGTCACTTTTTAATAACGGCAGGTGTGTACCATATTTTTAGTATTTCCACAAAAGTCCATTTAAAAATCAGCCAAAATGCAGTCTTAGGGAGAAAACATAATTACCAATAGCATGCTGCTTATAATGTGGGGGGGGGGGGGAGAGAGAGAAATCTAAGGAAAACTGTAGATAAATTATCTACCCAACACAGAGCATCTAATATTTTTCTTTATTCACTGACTGGCACAAAATATAAAATATTGGCTGCTATGCAGAATAACATCAAAATCCACACTTGGGCAGTGTCCTCTTTAAAATACGAGGTACCAATAGTCAAAATATGAACAATGTACTGTCCTCTACATCTACAATATGAAGCACCATCTGCTTACTAATAACCCTGTTCTGCATACAGATATATGCTACTGATAGCCTTTGAGGGATAAAAATGAGAAGCCGTGTTATCTGCTTTCACTGTCTTGAAGGGTTTAGGGCAGCTTTCCCTGATGGCTTCCAGATGTGGTAGGATGCCACTCCCAGGATGTTCCAGGTTATCAAAATTCTGAGAACAGCAATTGAATGTATCTGGAGTGGACCTAAACAGGGTAATAGTCTTAGCTATCCAGCAACTAAAAAAAATTGGTGCACAGAATGATTCTGACGCTATTAATGCCCCTGTGCAGCGAAGCAAATCCAGAGCCTAGAAAGTTACTTATTTGGCCAACAACATCTCTAATCCCCCTGCATATATTTACATTATACCTTGATTCTGTCTGTGTCCATCGCTGCCACTATGCAATCTTTTTTGGGGTTGTTTTTAGATTATTTGGGGATGGGTGGGGGGTAGGGTTCTTCTGTTTCTGTAATCTGTAAGAACCTGGAGGGAAACCTAGAACTGTGTGTGTTTTTCTGCTTTTTTTCATTTTACGATGCTAGCCTGAAAAAATGTTCAGTTTTGCACGAGTTTTGAACTTCTCATTATAAGCTGGGGAACCTAGCTTGAAAATCAGTAAGCAAAAGAATGGGTTTTTGGTCTGAGACTATCAGACTTCCATAACATCAGTCAAACCCATCAGAGTGTCTCTCCCATAGAACTGCTACACGTGTCACCAGTTTCTCTGAGGCTTTGCTGCTACAGGTGTCTCTGCCGATGGAGGCCTGAAGGTGTTAACTAGGAACTGGGTCTTCTCAATAGTGGCTCTGTCTGTGTGGAACTCACCCCCATCTGAGGTTTTTCAGGCCCCCTCCTCCCATCAGGCCTTTTGCAAGTTATACTGACGGGGCAGTATAAAAAAAACAAATAAAAATGACTGGCTTCCTGGAGTAAGCATACATAACGCTAGAGACACAAGCACTATTACACATGCTTTCAGCATTTATACAATGCCCATTCTGCAGTTCAAAATGCAAACAGTTGAAAGAATGCTGCTATCAGAAGACTAAAATACTTTATTAAGCAATACTAAGAACACTTTATAAGAACCAAAGAATGACTAGATCCAAACTCCATATTTTACTTCTGGAAAGGACTATGCAAGGTAGTAGATTATTACATGCCATGCGAGGCTGTGAGATCATGAACTTGATTTACTGGACAGCCTAACTGCACTTCAGGTGTGTCTTGCTTGAAGTCTGTGAAAACAAGTTGATGAAAAATATCTGTGAAGATTCTCAGTCCTCCAGGTGAGGTTATCTGGAAGTTGAGTCCTGGCAATTGGACTTCTTTCTTATTAGGTTGAAACATTTCGCTAGCTTCTTCAGACTCAACTTCCAGATAAGTTGATGAAAACTTCAAACAGTCCTTTTGTGATTTTTTTTTAAAAAAAAGAATTAACGAAAGCATCCGCTTAATAAGACCGCATCCGCTTGGCATCCAACACGCCTCCTTACCGTTGCTTTCTATCAGAGGAAAGCAACGTTTCAGCATCAATGAGTATACTCTTTGCTGTTCCTCTCCCAGACATCTAAGGCCTTTAGCCCATTGAAGTCCAGGTTGGAAGAAAACTGCCAGATGCTGTGTCCTTCCTGGCTTAAGAAGTGAAGCAAACAGGCAGGCAGACCAATTTAACTTTTATTTTGCTTTGTAAAGTGTGACTCAAGGACAGGACAATACTGCTCATTTAAAAAAAAACTATCCTCCTTTAAACCCTCATCAGACGAACAGAAGGCCCTTTCTGGAAATCAGGGTATTGTTAAGGCCGGTGTGCTGCCTCAAAGATTTAGATTTTAATACTCTGTAATCTAAATCCCTGGTAGTTCAAAGGATATGCTGCAAACAAATAGGTGAAGGAGGGGGGTAATGCGAAAGCATTCTTTAGATGCTACTATGGAGATTATAAGGAAGGCTTGCTATTCATAAGACGCCCACAGAGACGAGTATCCTTGCTTCTGCATAAGAACTGAATGTTTGGACAAAATATAATCTCGAGCCATTCAATGCTTGTGAGTCTGCTTCAGGGCTTAACACAGGAAGGGAGGTTTCAATGAAATCACACATCAACCGTAATACTTACATAACTGTATTGTCATCAACCAAGATATCACAGCCGTGAGCAGGACATGAAATTGTCTGTTGAAGGTGGCAAAGAAAAGGGGAGTAGAGAGAAACAGATCATGAAGCACATCTGGTTAATTTGGATGTCAGCAAAGTGTACATTCAGCACCATTTCTAGAACTCAAGACAGATGCAAAACCTGAGCTGGTCCAAGGCTTCAGCTGAAAAATCTAAGTCAGGGAATGAGAAATTTGTGATCCCACCTTGATTTCAAAAGCTTCCCACAGGTTTTTAATCCAGGTCTCTGGCAGGAGTAACTGACCTGTCTCTGGTAGCGTACTGGCTAGAGAAGACGGCTGCAGTGAGAGGGAAAGAAACAGATGGCAGAAAGAGAGAACTGCCACCACCCGGAGGCATCATCCAGGAAACTACTCTCAAAGGATATAGTTTTCCCTCAAGAGGAAAAAGGTCCACCACCATCCTTCAGTAAACAAACATCTCACACTAAACAGAGCCAAGATTCTTATGGCATCTGAATAATTATCAGATTTCCTTTGGCATACAGTTTTGTAGATTTCAACCCACTTCAACCGATGCATCTGCCGCCCTCGAAAAGGTTATGCGAAGTAAGATATGCTAGTCTTTAAGGCACAAAGTGAATTCGTACTAGTTTTGCTACAAGTGACTAAAACAGCTCCCCCTGGAATCTTGCCGAATAAGGACCAGCAGCAGGAGAAAAACCATCACCACCACATTTGAGGTTGGGACCACCAACTGCCCTTCCGGCAGAAAATATTTAGCAGGTGTCCATTAATTCTGACAGGCCTTGATGGCCAAAACAAAGTTTTGTAGCTGTCAGGCCGCTGCCCTCCAATGGAGAGGGGGAAAGGGGTGCATTGTCCCACCCACTGGTTTCTGATCCCATCCATGTGCCTTGTAGACTAACAAGAAGTGAGCGATGCTTCCATGTTCCTCTCCCTAGTCCAGACTTCTTTTAACCAAGTTCTTCTGTAATACTCAGCAACTTCCACTAAACCCACCACCGCATCAAGCACTGAGCTGACCAATTTTGCCACTGTGTCCCAAAGGTATCAAACTCCAGGTTTAGCATATTCATTGTTGTTCACTGCAACTATATTCCTCTCTCAATTGTTTCATCATTGACAATACAATACTCAAGGAAAAAACTACATGCTTTTTAAAATAATCTTTTTTTAAAAAAATATTCAACTATCTCTCCTTTTGCATCAAATATCTGGAGCACAGGACTGTGGGAATGATCCTGCTCCTCAGTTATGCTGAAGCCACGAGCAAGTCTAACACTGCACACACTTGAAGGGTGTGAAACATCTCCAGAATTGAGCCACAACTGTGGAACCTGACATTCTTACTCCACTTTAAAATGTAAGACAATAAAATGGGGAGGGGAGCGTTACCTGTCCCATGCCTTCCTCCATTATTTTGGTAGTTAAATATTCACTCCAGCACTGCATACAAAACTTATGTCCACACTCCAAGCCAGTAAAGTACTGCAAAAGAGAGAAAGAAAATGTTGTTGTTGTTTTTCACACAGATATGGGATTAGTTACACAATCCTCCATAAGTAGTGATTTTCCCAAATGCCATTCCTATAATTCATATATTAGTGTTTCTGCACTCTTCCTGCTGCTTTTCAGGCACTCACTGACCAGACTCACATCCTCAACCAGTTATCTATTTCTTCTGCATCTAGTTCCAGCTTTGATTATATATGTTTAAATATCATGCAAAAAATCCATCTTTGTTTCCACAGTATGGAAAGGCATCAGTTCTACCATAAGATAAAAGAGTTAAGGTGTATGCTCAGATTCCTCGATACATGTTACAGTACAAAAGAGATGACAAAATGGTGCTTTATGCACCATGAAATTCTTTGGTCAAGTCATTACCTGTATCTAGAGATGAGAGTATTCATATTCAAATATCCCCACAAAGGTGGAATTAATGAGGGACTGTCCACTCACAATTTCAGTCCAACGAGCTCGTGTCAGTGGCGAGCTCGTTGGACCGAAATTGTGGTCCATCCAGACTCACCACTCACAATTTCGCCGTTGTCCACAATCGATTACCCAGTCCTGGCAGGAGGCGGGGTGACAAGCCTCTCTACTAGGTCGGAGAGTGGCTAATCCATTGCGGAGAACAGCGCAATAGGAAGCCTCCGCAGAGCCGGCGGCAGCAGCGAAATCGTGAGTGGCCAGTCCGGACCCTCTTTATTTCCACCTGTGCGAGGATATTCATGTTCGTATATGAATACCCCCATCTCTACCCGTAACTACCCGTAAGTCTCTAAATGTCAAGCGTCCTGCCACCTGACTTTTTTCTCCATAAGCAGGAAGCTGATGTCTCATAAAGCTGTGTCATCCTAAGCAACCAACTCTACTTGTGTCCAGACACTCAGAGATCTTTAAGCAGCAGGGCCAGGGCCTCCTCGTGAGACACCACAATAAGCAGAGACACAGGAGATGGAAATGAAAACAGGAAATGTTTTAATGACAGAATGCATGAAAAACACAGAACAACACTAATGACTAATTATAAGTTCTTTACTTCGGGGGGAAAAACATGTGCTTGGTCTTTCCACTGACACAGCTCCTGTACTGCTTCGCTCCCATTTTACTCTCTTTCCACAAGATTTTAGACATATCTCACTTTAAATTCACTAAACATTGCCAATAACTGAAAGTTAGCTGAATTGTGGCCCATGAGAGTAAGAACCCAGAGGTATGATCAGTTTCAGCTGAAAAGGTTTAAGTACAGTTTTCACTCTCCTTAATTAATGGAAGTGAAGCTAGTGTTCTACATGTAATTCCCCAGAGGTATGTCTCCCTGAATGCAATGAATAGACCTGTGTAGGATCACACTGCTTAGTGCTTAACTCTTCCCAAATCATGAAAACAACATTTCGGAATGAATAAAATGAGTAGATCTGTTCTACATGTTTAAAGAATTATACAAGAGATAATTAAAAGTATTAAATGATAGAAAATCATTCTCAAGCTAGTAGGCTGCAAAAGGTAAATGCATAACACATCATTACAGATTAAAAGCAAAGAAAGAGGCACAAGAAGATGAAATTCTTCAAGGACTATTCAAAGTCATTTGCAATTTTTTTAAAAAAATATCTTATTATTCAGGATATTGGAGAGTTCCCTGAAGAACTTATAATCCCAAGTTTAATACTGTTACAAATAAAAAATTACGATGGAACTGCTGAAGGCAATTTTTAAAATGTTAAAGTTCCAAAACCAGATGGTATTACAAAGCAGACTTTCATAGTATATTTAAATATCAACTCAAGGGCTTCTTTACATAATTTGAAGACAGGTGATTAGGATTATCTGATATTCCAGAGATCAATGGAACTATATCTCTTATATCCCCTGACAATTAGAGATGTTAGATGGAGATGATGGGACCTGAAGCAGAAAATCCACAGGCACAATTTGCTCTGGATTTTCTAGTTTGGCAGGAGGTTGGCCTCAACAAACCTTGAGATTTCTTCCAGTTCTACGGTTCAATGGTTCTATGAAAATAAGGGTGTGGTGGGGCTTCCCCAGTGTCCCTCGTACATGTGAGTGTGTGTAGAGATGTGTGGAAATTGACCAAAGATCTCCAAAGAGCTATTTTGATAACTTAGCTATACTATATACATAAACACACATACAAAAGCTTCTGAGTCATGGAACACATACTTAGTTTTCTGATTCCTATGTGCAAAAACCAGAAGCTGTATTATTTTTGACATATATACATCCATTAAGAGTTATCCCTGCTGTTTTTCTGAAAACAGCAACTTTCCTTCCAAACTGTGTGGTGCACAGCACAGGATTGGGGCTGCACAGCCGATCCAGAGTTCCCACCCATTTGCTTCTGGTTGCAGCCGGAACCCTACGTGCGTGGGGCAGGGGCAGTACCCCTGCCCCATGCTAACAGAAAATTAGAGGGAATGTTGGCCAAGAGGGAAACTTTCACTCATTGTAGGCTCTCACCAACTGACTGCTTGCCAAGTACATGGGTTTTAATAGGGATTATTTAATTTTTAATGTAAATTGTCCTCAATTTACATTAAAAATTAAATGATTTAATTTGTTTTAATATTTACAAATTACTGAGTGAAATCCAACAATAAATCACAGCTACAGCAGCCCCCCTGGATAAACGGGGATTTGGTAAGTCAACTCCTCCGGAAATTCCACTAAGTCAACAGGTCTCCTCTAGTTGTGACTCAAGATAGTATTTCAGCCACCGTGGTTTTTATTGCTACTGTTTTGTTGTTGCTTTTAAATCTACCCTGTTTCTCCAAAAATAAGACAGGGTCATATATTATTTTTTGGTCCAAAAATGCATCAGGGCTTAGTTTCAGGGGATGTTTTATTTTTTTCATGTACAGTGGTGCCTCGCTTAACAAGCGCACCATAGAATGACGAATCCGCATAGCAAGGGTTTTTTTTCGATCGCAACTGCGATCACAAAGCGATGGCCCCAATGGGCGAAACTCGCATAGCGAAGGTCGGTAAGCGTTTCGCTTACTGACCTTCGCTTTGCGACCCGCGGATCAGCTGTTCGGCGGCTCCAAAATGGTCGCCGGAAGCCCTGAAATGCCCGCGCGCAGCGTTTTCGCACCCTCGGTAAGCGAGGGGAGGGTGCGAAAATGGCTGCCGGCCATAGGAAAACATCGCTGAATGGTGAGTTTTCGGCCCATTTGGAACGCATTAAACGATGTTTAATGCGTTCCAATGGGTTTTCTTGATCCGTTCAGCAATGTTTTCACAAAGCGAGGGTTAATCCGGAACAGATTAACCTCGCTATGCGAAGCACCACTGTACAACAATCTGTTATTCAAATAGTCATGTCATCTTATTCTGGTTGCTACACAGTGGTGGAGGGCAGGGTTTCACTTAACTGGAGCTTATTTTTGGGGTAGGGCTTATATTACCAGCATCCTGAAAAATCACACTAGGGCTTATTTTCAGGTTAGGTCTTATTTTAGGGGAAACAGGGTACATTGTAAGACAGCGCAGATCCCAGCCCTGGCGAAAAGGAGGAAAATAAAATAATTAAAAGAGCACGCTATTCATTAATAGCAGACAGGGGGAAAATGGGTTTGAATGCTCTTATGAAAAAAAAATTGCATATGGAAAACTAGCATATCAGAGGGAAGACAGCTAGATTGCTACTGCCTGCATTTGAGAGGAAAAAAGAAGGAAACATAGGAAGCAATTTTACGTTGAGTCCAACCTTTGGTCTACCTGCCCCAGCATTTTCAGCTCTAACTGACAGCAATGTCTCTTCGACCTTTCAGGCAGGACTCTTCCCTCACCCTACATCAAAACGGTACTGATTGATCCCAGGAGACTCTGAATGCACGGCGTGCACTCCATCACCAAGACACTGCCTTTTTTACCTATTAATCAGGCAGAGGTGTGTGTGTGTAGGGGAGAAAGACTACCGGCTGTCTAAGTCAGGAGACTCTGAATGCACGGCGTGCACTCTGCCAGCAAGACACTGGCTTTTTTACCTATTAATCACGCAGGTGTGTGTGTGTGTGTGTGTGTGTGTGTGTAAGGGAGAAAGACTACTGGCTGTCTAAGCACAAATTGTTTTCCACTGCAGCTTACACACACAGACAATATTTTAATGACCAAATGCAACACACGTTTTAAGCACGCAATCTGATTAATTGATTAATATTTCCCGACGGCACTCACCGAGTTAGGATAGTTCAGGTAGCAGATCTGGCACGGCATGTCCTGTGCAGATGACCTGGTGTTCATCTGACGTGTTCGAGACTTTTTACTAGGATTAATTACGCAAACACAGAGAACAAATATACTGTATTTTTCGCACCATAAGACGCACTTTTTCCCCACAAAACAGGGGGGTGGAAAGTCTGTGCGTCTTATGGAGCGAAGAAAACAGATTATATTTTCCTGTTTTCTTCTCCTAAAAATTGGTGCGTCTTATGGAAAGGTGTGTCTTAGTTTAAAAAAAAGAAAGAAAATCCACCTGATCTTCATTTGAGAATACTCTGAAATGTGAAACACAGCTATTGAGTTTCTATAACCAGAGGAAGGACCCGAGGTTCCCTCTAAGATGCAGGACTACATATGACTTTGCCTCCTTCCAGGCAGCTGTCCTCCTCCTCTGCACAACCTCTTTGATTCTGGTAGGAACTGAATCCTCTCTCTCTCTCTCTCTCTCTCTCTCTCTGTGTGCGTGTGTGTGTGTGTAGTCAGAAGCTGTGCGCGCGAGACGTGAGAAGTGGAGGCCCACCCACCAACGGGGATGAAAATTAGAGGGCACATCTATTCTTTAACCTAGTTCTGCTTTTATCTGTTCTATTTCCTTCGAACTCAAGACTGGAAGCAATCAGAAGGATTCTCTGCTGAAAAACTACAACTCCTGCTGGCATTAAAACAGATGTGGGGTTGCTGAAATAACAATACATTGGAGTTTTGGAATATGGACATTTAAACACCTTATTAAAAAAAACAACAGTGTGTTCCAGGGTTGGCTTGATTTAAATCAAACTGATTTGATCATGATTTAATTTTTTTAAAAAAACCTAATTTTTGGATGGTTTAAGTAAAAAATTGATTTTTGCATATGAAAATCATGATTTAAATCAATCTGATTTTTAAAAAAATCATTGGTTTTTATTCACTCTGGTGTGTTCTATATTTTCAGTTGAATAAGTCTCAGAAGTGTCTAATGCACCCACGTATGTCACCCGGTCACTCCTTAAATCATAGTTGGAGCAGAATGAACAGAACTTCAAACTGTTCCTAAGAGGCATAGAAGCAACTGCTTTGAGAAAGAACATTTTGGTGTGTAATAACTCCTTCGTTTCTACCTTTCCTTTCTGAACCCAGTGCTCAAAGGCAGCACTTACAAAGCTACATCTTCAGGGCTTGAAAAATCCACTCATGAGTGAAAAAACGCTGCTTGAGGAACCACAGCTCCCTCCCTCCCTCTCTCTGATCCTGCAGTCCTCCCCTCCCCCTTCCCATTGTAAAAGGAAAAACAGCCCTCTTCTCGCGAGAAGAGAGTTCGAGTGGCACATAGATCTATAGCTCTGCAAGAGAATGTAGAGTAGTCCCATGCTGGAGAACATGGAGATTCCCTGCTCCCAATTTCAACCAAACGACCTGGCTCCTTAATAGGCCCGGTGCTTTTGCTTTCAGTTTTATTTTTGCTGGAGACATTCAAAAGAAAGGTATTAAAAATGCAAGCTTCATGACCCCACAGACACGCAGGTTCTGAGGGTATATTTATTTTGGGTTTGTATGCATTGTTATGTAGAAAGTGCCTAGTTTAAATGTAAATGAAAATTGCAACACTACAGTCCAGTCATGCTGACTGGGGAAATTTTTGACTGACTGGTGAGACATTCTAAAATGTTTCAAGCCCTGTACATCTTATAATTCCTGATAGAAACTAGGTGATTTTGCCTAGAGCTTGGAAAATCCCAGCGACCATGTTTTTTAGGGGATTCTGGAAGTTGCTGTTTTGGAAAATAACATTTCCACATTTGGATTCTGCCCAGAATATCGGGCTCTCTGCATCACTCAAGAAAAGAGATGAATATGAACCACAGTTTGGAGGATCAGGCCAACAGGTGTTGTCTTGGCGCTCCGGGTTTCCCTGCCCTAACTCCTCCGGTGGGCACCCACTACTCAAGAGGAGGTGCCAGGACAGAGCCCAAGGTGCTGCCCCTTAGTGGGCACCCATGGGAGAAGGTGGGGAATCTGGGGCGCCAGTACAACACACGTAAACCGGATCCTTCAAACTGCTGAACCATGGTTTGTGCTCGTATCTACTCAAGAGTAACAGACCCCAGCATTAGTGCATACAGAAGGGAGAAAATCAGGCTATCCAATAACAAAATGCAATAACACAAACACATATTGGCATTAACATGGGAGCATATACTGTACATGTTCACATAAGTGACCATAAAGTCTTTAAGAGGACTGCACATTTCGACTAATATATTTATATACCTCACACATATAATCTCTTAGGACCAGGAAGCTTCCATGAATCTCACCCTTGCTTCTTCCACTGATACCCCCACAACACATTTTCCACTAACTTCCTTCATCATGTGCATACAGCTCCTGAATTGTATGTACATTCCAGGTGATTTGGGCACAGTTTTCTTTATGTAGAAAAGCCCAAGGTGCCAAAAATCCAAGAATATTTTATGCTAGTAGAATCCAAAATCTGACAGTGTTTCAGACATATCTTTCAGTTAAAGAAGAATTTTGTTTACCTCTCCATCAGCTTTTCTTTATCCCAGTTGAAATGACTAAGGAGTATCCTGGTGATAGTTGCTGGATTCTAGAAAAAGGAGGAAATGTCCTTGTAAATGATATAGAAGTACAAAATAGAAGCATGTTCATAAAGAACTAGGAACGTATAAACCTTACATGAAAAAAGCTGATTATTATATTTATAACTCACATTTCTTTCAAAGTGATCAGCAACAAAATAGTGTGTTGCTTATATATGGTCCCATAGTGCTTAAAGAACCCTCTGGGCAGGATACAATTTAATTACGCAGGCTGTGCATACAATTTTACACTGATCATACCCCCCATCTTATCGTCACAATAACCCCATGAAAAATGTTAGAGTGATTATTATTTAAAGACAGTGCAAGGTACAGCCAGGAGAAACCCCAGTTCTAGGTCAGTGATTCCCGGTTGTAAGTTCCCACATAGTGATTGAACTTCAGCTCCCAGAAGCCCCAACCAAAATGACCAACAGTCAAGGATGATGGGAGCTGTGCATCACCTTCCAAAAATTGAACACCCAAAACGAGGAATCTGTGCTAGACAGAGGCCAGAATCCTATTGATTATTTACATCGGTAGAAATGTCTTGGTGTAAATTGTATTGTCAAATTTCTGCCAGTTAACAAGTTGCCATTTGTTTTCCTCCACATATGCCAAGTCAACTGGTGCATCACAAGGAATACAAGTGGTGACTCATTAGCATCCATTTGCCACTGCAATTTGTGCCACTGCACTTATCCCACATAAAGAACCAACAGAATTCTGGCCTATGTGCTCGAGTAAAAGGAAGAGCAGCACTCTGTGGAATGGGCCATCACTCACTGATGAATGAAAAACAACTATTCAAAACTATGCCCAAGTACATAATAGGATTCTGGTGATGAGTCAGCATTGCACATGGATGTTGGAAAGGGCTTGGCCCGTTTAAGCTGGGCAGCCTTTGAAAGAGAAAGCACTTTAGTTTTAAAACCAATTGGCTATAATTTGTTTTGCAAAATTAACATTTCATGCAGAATGACCCTAATGCCAGACTTCAAGAGGAGCAAAAGATGGAGCATGACAAACCCAGCAACCACAACTAAATATATTTCATTACAAATGTTTTAATCTGAAATCCTAAATTTACAGCTAGTGCAACTGCTGCCATGACTCCTACCAAGAACAGCCACTCTCAATCTTTATTTGGCCACAGCCATAAACACAATATGGAAGAAATACAGGCTGAGTCAGGATTGTACAAGTCACATAACAAAGGTGGTGTATTAAAAATTATTTCCAGTCTGTGGCCCCCTTCAAATGTGCCAGGGCCCCCGTTGAAAATGGCTGGCCTAGAAGAACTATCAATAGATTCCTCCTCATTTAGGGCACATCTTTATACCTATGTAATACATTTAACTAGAAAAGTTGGCCAGAATCCTGTTGGTGATTTACTTGTGATTAAGCTGTGTTGCTCACCAGGCTGCCAACTAAAAAAGATGTGCCCAATACTACAGCCAAGTGCCTTATTCCTTGCAGCAGTTTGCCATGGTGAGTAACACAATACTAGGCATTTCCAAATCATTAACAGGATTCTGACTGCTTGCTCACAATGTTTGACATTTGGATTATTTCTTTTGTTGTTGTTTAGTCGTTAAGTCATGTCCGACTCTTCGTGACCCCATGGACCAGAGCACGCCAGGCCCTCCTGTCTTCCACATTATCACACACCTATTACTTATTTGGATTTCTCTGGCCAGAATCCAGTTGGCGATTTATGTGTGCATAGGTGGAAATGCTCAAATGACCACAGACAACTAACTAATGAAGCATAACTCAGATATATTCCTCTTAATCTAGAAAGCAACAATTTGCTACAGTGAGTTACACATTTGTAAATAAGGAACATGATTCTGGCCTCTGTTTGTAAACACAGCTTCTCTCCAACAGTATTGCTAAATGAACACTACTAATATGTATTTCAGCTTTTTAAAAACCTAACAGATTTATTGCAGCATAATCCCCATTCTCCTTGGAGTCCTACTAATTAAACACTGTGAATATTTCAACCTGTCCAGCAATGACAATGGACTGTCAATTGGCCACATCTGTTGCAACCAGCCAAATGAACTCTGAATGAAGCAGCATCCAGTCTGTTGCCAGTACAGTACTGGGCTGCTCAAAAGCACTGTGCTCCCTATTCTATAAACTTTGGGGTTTTCACATCTCCTTGTTTTTCAGCGTCCTCATTTTGCCTTCAAACTTCTTGACACACACTGCTTCTTTTTGCTATTAAAAGGAATAACTACAGTGGTTTTGTATCCTTACGTCCACGTCCATTTTCAGTTTGATCTTCTCTACATGTGCAACCAGTTTCTACCATTTATATTCATGCACTTTCTTCTACTCACAAATTAAATATTACATGCCATATGGTAAGTCTTTTAGAAAAACAAAACCCACCAAATATACTATGACTGCTTCATGCTGTTTGTCATTTCTCATCCCTTCTCTACTGAAACATGTAACT